CAAAAATAAATATCGAAATCTAAATGTTAAACATGAGAGAGTACTTGAAGAGTCTCTTATAAATAACTCTACGAGGCAGAACTTTAATATATGATAAAATAATAGAATATTTTAAAAATCTGAGATGATTTGTTTAAAGCCCATTGAAGGGGAAAACAGCCACAAATTAAAAATGTAATATGTCGAAAAAGCAACCAAGTGAGTTGCTCAGTTTAAAAGGAACAAAAAAGGTTAAAAAAATGTAATATGTCATTGCTATTTGATAAGCTTTTGTACCTTAATGGTAGCCAAATTGCACTCATTTATATGTATCGAAAGCTGCTTTCTTATGGCATCAATTGTTCCACTTTCCTAACTAACACTTTGACAATATATTTTCAAATGTGTCCTGATCTAGAATCACTTCCAAAAAGTATTTTTGATGATTAACATAGTCTTCTGTAAACAAACAAAAAGGATTTTATTTTTAGATCTGACACCAAGAAATATCTTTGTATGTTACCATTTGAGGATGAAATTTTGTTTTTCTCCATATTTCGACTGGATATAACTAGAGAGTTTTGGATATTTGCTTCCCTTCAAATAAGAAATAAACTATTCTTAAAATAATAGTTTCAAGTTTGAAGTGCAGCTTGTTCTTTTTTCATAAAATATTAAATAGCAAAATCAAAAATGTTCTTTCTCTTCAAGTTTGAGGAGAAACTATCTGAATTGACACCTCACATACTCTGGGTTTAAGAAGTTAGCATTATCTGAGAAGTCGCTATTTTTAGGTCCACTGTAATGTTTCTAACTTTGGCGCTCAGAGTAGTGGGTGCTTCCTTTCCCATAAGGCTCTGTATTCTCACCATGTGCAGGTCAATTTGACATAAAGCTACCTACGAGGAGCAACAGGCCCATTACAGGCCATATTTCTAACTTGAAAATTATGAGCAGGTATTGGGAGCCACAGGCTGTATTTGGGAACCAGCTGCATGTCAGTACAAGCATGGATTGTGGTCTCTGGAGGCTGGGAGAGCACAATGCTTGAGCTTAATTTCTTTGGAAGATAAGAAGAAAAAAATACCTTTCTACCTGACAAGATTGACAGCGTATTAAATCTGACTATCTTCAGAAGTGTGCTGGACAGTTGCAAAGTAAACATCCACTTTTCAAAGATGATGATCAAGGAAACATCTCTACGAAGGGACCCGGATTTAAGGGGAGAGTTAGCTTTTCTGGCAAGGGGCTGTGATTTTGTTCTCCCGTCACGTTTTAAGAAGCGGCTAAAGTCATTTCAGCAGACACAGGTTTGAAACTTGGGTGTTTCTTTTAAAATATTTTCATTACTAATAAAACCACCCAATGAACTAACTTACAAGTAATTTTACAGCTCACTTGATATTAGATCAAGGAATTAATCTGTGTGCTCTATTCAGCTATTTACAGAAAGCTATTTGTAGAGAGATTCCAACAGGTTTAAAAATAGACCTTCTGGACCTGAGTACAGTACTCACATTTTTCTCTGTAGAGAGGGAATCGGTTTTAGAGAGAATAAATACAACTTAACACATATTTTACAATTTGGTGGGGGGGTAGAATTTCTGTGTTAAAAGTCCTGTATATACTTTGAATCAATAGGCTATGTTTGAATTAGCATACATCTGTAATGAATATTTTTTTAAGTATAGATCCTGTTAATCCTTTTTTTCTTTGAAGGAAGAACTAGTTTTATATTTAGACAATTGTGTGTATGATATTTTCCCTTTTAAATGTTAACATCACTTTTATTAAAGAGTAATAAAGGGTGGCAATTAACTTCTGGGTGGTGAAAGAATGTCCCCCTCAGCAAGCTGTGAGATTGAATCATTTCTGCCCGCAATGACTACTTTGCAGAGCCCTTGCTAACTTGGTTACACTGTTATGGCCAGTGCCTCACCAAACAAGTACCTAACACTAACTACAGTACAAATCAAGGGCCATACAAATGATGGCCATCCAGAACCCAGCAACAAACCATAGTTTCATAGTTATTCTGACCCAGAGTAATTTCACATTATTTGATTGGACCATATTATTTGATTGGAAGGTGTTTTTTAATAGCTCAAAAATGATCAAATATTGGAAATGCTACAGTGGTATAATGGTATAAGGATACTATTCAGAAGAAATCCCTAAATGATACTGTGTTTATAAAGGGAAAAACTGAAATGGAGAATTGAGATACTTTTACCCAGCTAATTCTGTTTTAGTGCTGTTCCTAGATCTGAGTGAAACAATTTTATTCAAAGTGAGCAGATGCTAAACTTGCTGGTAAATCTGGCAAAATTTATATTACTGTGTTTTGTTTTATAATGTTAGTAAAAAATCAGTTTTATTAAACTACATTAAAGTTTAAATTCAATGGAAAGTAAATTGATACAACCAGAAGTTCACAATATGCATTCTTTATATTTTCCCTTTTAAATATTAACATCACTATTATTAAATGTGTATCAACCAATGAATTAATAAATAGTTGCCTATCCATAAATTGCTCTGTGTTAAGAGGTACACTTAAGGAAAGTAAATTAGACTATTATATAATCAAATATTTTCTCATTCAAATAAAAACTTTGACAGATAGCCAGGGTTTGTTCTGAATGTCACTTATTTCTATCAGAGCAAAAGTGTAGAGTCAACATTGAAGGCTTTCCTTTAAACCTTCCCCACTAGCATGTGTTCATTAGACTATTGGGTTTCATCCTCACTGGCACCAGTGGTCTTAATCCTACAGTTATAACTGCTCTGGATGTCACACATGGGAAACATTTGGGGGAAACCAAAAAATAATTTTGATGATTGTATACTTGTCTCACAAATCTTTTTTAGCATAGAATAATAGAAAGGAAATAACACTAATATAAATAACTTAGGTAAAGACCTGAAGAATTACATGCCTTATTTTAGAAGTTTAAGAACAATTTCTATTGTCATTGACTCAAGACTGTGTAATATTTGCAGATTTAGCACTAAGGCAGAGAGAAATGTTTATTTAGAATAGATTATCAGTTTGTTAAATCAAAAGTGGTTTGTAAACTTTAAATTCTTTATAAATGTGATTATTTTATTTATTATTGAATCTGCAGAACCATGCCAGGTTATGTTTAATGTTTTGAGATTCCCCACCCTTTAGCTTAGATAAGGACATACCGTACCCAGCACTGTTTTGAACCTTTTACCTGTGTAATGTCCTTGCTTTTTACTCTTGAAATTTCCTTTAATCCTCACAATATCCTAAGAAGTAAGGATTTTAATTTGTTTTATTACTGAAATTCTGAAAGATTACATAACTTTCCTGAGGTCATAGGGCTAGTAAGCCATCACTGTTTTCTGTTAAGTTTTTCATCTTTCATTGGTACCACTTCCCTCTATGCAATTTCTTCCTAGACTTCTACTTTACATGGCTGACATCCTGATAGTGTAGCAGTGGGTTGGTGTGACCAACTGGCCTTCATAGCCCCAGTAGTATTATAATATATGAGTAGACTCCACTCTTTGTATTAATATCAGGTATTAACATGAGAAATGGGTCAGGTATAACAAAAAAGGAGATTCAATCTTATTCATCATGTATTTATGTGAATGAATCTTCCTATAATACTCATGTTTTTCAAAGGTAACAAAGATTTTTGTCCTGAATCTAAATATCATGTTATAAGCCCTTATGTCAAAAGGAAATATGATAGATCTACTTACAGATAAATTATTCAGACTTTAGGAATGGCATTAGGATAATTTAAGGAAAAACACTCAAGCAATACTTTGTGTTCACAGTGAATTTAAAATCTAGTTGGTCAACAATCATGCCATCTTTTATACTTTATATGGCATCTAATACAGTGTCAGTTAGTCAAAATTAAGAGTAGAAACTTAAACTCTGAAAATCTTCATGGAATCTTTTGCTTTCTCTTCTAGGACTCTCTGAACTAAATTTAGTCTTCATTGATAAAATAAACTTCTCTAACTAAATGGATAATCTTTATCTCCCTATTACTCTCCACCCCCTTTTTATACTGTCCTTGCTATAAAGTATATAAAGTATAAATGAGTTAATAAACAGTAAAGGAAGTTTGGCTGTGATGAAATTAATGACCATGATCCTTGCCTATTAGAATGTACCAAAAATGAGAGCAATTTATATCTTGGGGAAAAAATGGCATACCTCTAGTGGCAAGTAAATTGGCCTGGTGGAAGACATTCCAAAACAAAAATGCTTTAATTTTCTTAACAAAGACTTTCTCTGCATCAGGGCTGGCAGTGATTCTACCTAGACAAATTTAAACTAGAGAAGAAAGTGAAAGGACACTCCCTCCAATAGATTTTAGATCTACATAATTAAAAATTTATTCTGCCTATTAAAGAAGAGAGAAATGCACAAAAAGACCAAGAACAGTCTTCAAAAATAATTTACTAATCCAATTCTAAAGACTAAGAATACACCTTGAGATTCTTAATATGTCAGCTGGCATTGCTCTTAAATGTCTGCCATAGCCTGGCTGGCATGGCTCAGTGTTTGAGCGTTGACCTATGAATCAGAAAGTCACAGTTCGATTCCTGGTCATGGCATATGCCCAGGTTGTGGGCTCTATCCCCAGTGTGGGGTGTGTAGGAGGCAGCCAATCAATGATTCTCTCTCATCATTGATGTGTCTATCTCTAGCCTTCTCCCTTCCTCTCTGAAATCAATAAAAAAATATTTTAAAAAGATGTCTGCCATATAATTTATGGGAAATGTAGGATTTTTAAGCATTAATTTATATAAACTCAGGTATTGACATATGGTTGATGTATTAATATATTTAGTATGGATAAGCATTCCCTAGAAACATGCTTGCCTCCCTCTAGAGTAGAGTGAGCTCTTAATCTCTGCTGTCTCTAATTGTGGCTTATGTATACCTAACCTCTTATTACTGGTGAGAACTTTCAAGAAATATATGCTGTTTATAATTTATGTGTCTCATACTCAGATTTTCCTTCCAGATTCAAAATAAACCAGAAAAGAAGCCTGGAACCCCATTGCCACCTCCAGCCACCTTTCCAAGTACTCCCCAGCCTCTCTCTCCTGTTCCTCATGTGAATAAGGTTGTGAACGCACCATTGTCCATAAACATTCCACAGTTCTACTTTCCTGAAGGACTCCCAGATGCCTGCAGTAACCATGAACAGATTCTAAGCAGGATTGAAGATGCTTTCATGGATATTGAAGATCAGAAAGCAGATATTTATGAAATGGGAAAAATTGCCAAGGTAATACAACTACTAAATGATGTATATTTGCCCTTTCCCTAGCAGTCCCAATCTCCCTCTCTTCACTGCCTCTTTGCTCTCTGCTTTTAAGCATGCATAGGGCTTTTCTTCCCATGTTGAAAAAATGTGTTTGATCCTGATATATCTTTAGCTATGGTCCTATTACATGGAACTGTTAAGTTTGAAGAAAACCTTAGTGGACTTCTAGTCCAGCTTCTCATTTAATATAGGAATTGCATCCATGATATCACTGACATACAAATTCATTCTCTGTTTGAATGCTTTCAGTGACAGGAAACTCACTATTTTACCAAGCAACCTATTTCATCATTAAATATTGCCTTACTTGTTAGACATATGTCTCTTGTGTTGAATACAAATCTTATTTTTTGTTCTCACCCAATAATCATAACTCTTTGTCCTAAAGCTAGACCAGGAGCAACTAGGCCAGCTCAACACTGTAATTCTACTCAGAAATAAATGGCTTTTTCCTAAAAAGCAAGTCTTTGATACTTTCCAGTATATCCAACTGCTTTTAAGATCTTAGCTCCTAATGCCAGGACTACTATAAAATCTTTAGTAACTGGATTCTATGCCTCTATCCTTCTCCTAGAACAGTTACTACTGAGCATGACCATCACATTATATTTGATCATGCCATTTCCCAGCTCAGCAATATTCAGGGATTCCTACCACTCATAGCAGTGCTTTCTTTTGGTTGGGTTTTATTTTTATTACGCACATATGTTGGAGAGTCAGATCATGCCTGGGAATTTAGCAGTGATTTCAGGCTGTGCTTCAAGAGACAGAGGGGTTTGGTAGGCTAAGAGCTGCATGTGGACAAGTAGGAGACCAAGTGGGAGCTCCCAAGACCCCATGCACACTTACACTGGGAATGATTTCCCCTGCTTTTAGGAATAATATTTAAAAGTTTGAAAACTGATATTGAGGATAAAACCCAAACTACTGTTGTGTGTGTGAGTCTGACCCACTTGCCCTCCCAAGGCACATCTCTGCATTTGGGCTCTCAGTTCTCCCCTCCAAAATGGGTTTCCACTCCTGCCAACCCCCATGTCACCTATCCTAGCTTCCAGTATGTCTTTGGAGAAGTCCCTAAATCCCCACTCCTGCCGTGCCCTGTTTTCTCCCCTACCTCTAACTTTAGAACATTTGTTACTGCTGTTAAATACTTTGCAAATAGAGTGATTTTAAGATAAATGAAAAGGAATTGTTTCATTCCCCCTTTCTTCACTCCTAATCTTAGAAGTTATTTGTTGATCCCTTAGCTGTTTCTAATGAAAAACAGACTCATTCTAGAAATAAGAGCTCACCTGTTTTCACTCTCTTTTACATATGAGGAAACTGAAGTCCCGCAGTACTTACCTAAAGTCACAGAATTAATTGGTGCATGTCAGGAGACAAGTCCTCTAACTCCTAGCACTGTGCTATTTCTGCCATATGTTATCTGACCTGAACATAGGCTAACATACCATTAGCTAACTTCCAGTTATAGCCACCCTAATAAATTATAACTTCTTTTAGGGCATTGGCATTTTCTTCCCTGAAACTTTGAGAAATAGCTGTTGTAGGAACCAAAATGGTGAATTATCTAAATGGGCTAGAAATATGAATCTAAACCCAAAAGGTAGAATTTGGCAAGGATGAATGAAGGCTGCATCTGGAGATAACATGTTAACCAAATAAATGCCAAACAGTATTTCTAACATGGCAACAGTGTGTGAGAGAGACAGGAGTTTTTCCTGGATTGCTTCAGACAGGCAAACCAGAAGAGACTGTGTAGATTAAGGGATATAGTTGTTCCTTGGTGCTGTGCTGGGCTCACCACACCTGGAGAGAGAGCCAGTCCAGGTGATTAGCGCCTCACTGTCAGAGACCTGTTCCCTACTCTGTCTTGAATTCAGGTCTTCTGGGTTGACCTTCCTCCTCTGAATATTCCCAACCCCTGACTGAGGAGCCTGTTTTGGCCTTTCTGCCCCTACTCAACGGTTCAGTGGCCCTCTAGCACTCAACAGATTCAGAGGAGAGAGCAGAAAGCCTAAGTTGGTCAAGGGAGGTACAGGAAAGAGTATAATCAAGTCAAGGATAGGTCTGTGCATGCTGGGGAGTCAGAAGAAGGACTTTGCTATTTATAGGCAATGAGGATCAATCTGTCTGTCAGGAAAACTGCCAGTGTTAAAGCTGACAGCATAGAAAAGTTTAAAAAGCTAGAAAACTATTTTGTTTAGTAAACAATCATTTACATAACAATTTGCTCTTTATACATAATCATCATGTGGCACAGTAGCCAATATACATACATGGCTGATTAACTTGTCTGAATTGTACTTGATTGTAGCCCTAAATTCCACATATAGGTGCCAAGCATTGGTGTTCATTGCTCTTAGACCTTAATTGTCGGTTGAGGTAGCAAGGTAAATTGCTCATACCTTTAAAAAGTTAAAAATAACATTGCACATAAAAGTGAGAGTGTGTGTATATAATGACCTCAGGAAATCTCAAAAGTGCATTGGTTTGCATTGTTTTGTTTTGGATTATTGTATCAGCTCATGTTATTGGATTTTGTCTATTTTAAAAATTCACTTAATCGTGTCTTCCAGTTAACTAATCCCCATAAAACCAGCTTTTACTTGGCTGTGGCTGTCCTCTTAGCACTCACTAAGCCATTCTTATTTTCAGCCATTCTTTACTGTGCTGACTGCTCTTCTCTGCCACTAGGCAGGAACTATGCACCTGCATACCTTGCACTCTTTATGCTTGTGTTCTCACAAGATGTGGTCATGTGAAAAGGAGAAGAAAGACAACCTTTAAGGGAGATTGAGGGGAGAGATGGTTGGAGCAATAAATGAACATTTTTATGGATTCTTGTAGTTTATAAAGTTATTTGGAAGACCAGCTTGAATTGCAATATACTTTTAATGACATTTAAGTATAGCTTTAGAGGCTGTGGTCTGTTTTTTTAAGTGCAAAGAAATCTCTGTGTTCATAAAGTCTGCATCTGTTGGTGAAGTTTAGCTTATTCACCTTGAACCTCAAATAGTGCTGGAGAGATTAATGCCCATTCTGATTCAATGCTCAGTGTGTAGTGTATACTTTTTTCCACAGCTTTAAGTGATGATGGAGAAGTAATGAGAGAATGAATCTAAGAGGGGCAAAGGCAGTGCGGGAACAGAAACTGAGGGCCAGTAGGAAAAGCATTTGTCAGAGACTGAGCCTCTAGCTGGAAGTTGGGGGGAAAGAATGAAACTGTTTTCTGAACCATACAAAGCCCTCCAGCTCCTCTTCTGGCTGTTGTAACATCATCTTTTTTTTCTCTTTAAATATGTTTTTATAGATTTCAGAGAGGAAGGGATAGGGAGAGAGAGAGAGAGAAACATCAGTGACAAGAAAGGGGCAGTGAATGTGCTGCCTCCTGACTGCCCCCTACTGGGAATTGAGCCCATAACCCAGGCATGTGCCCTGACTGGAAATCAAACCTCAACCTCCTGGTTCATGGGTCAACACTCAACTACTGAGCCACACCAGCTGGGCTGATGTAGCATCATCTTCTTGACTCATCATACCTTTGGCCTGTAAAGTACCCTCTGTACCTTTAGTTCTTCATCTGAAGAATGGGATAAAAATACCTGCCCTCACCCTAGCCGGTTTGGCTCAATTGATGGAGTCCGATTCCAGTCAAGGGCACATACCTGGGTTGCAGGCTCAATCCCTGGCCCTGATCAGGCGCGTGTGGGAGGCAACCAATCGATGTGTCTCTCTTACATCAATGTTACTCTGTCTTTACCCCTCCCTTCCACTCTCTCTAAAAATTAATGGAAAATATCCTCAGGTGATTAAAAAACAAACAAACAAACAAAAAAAACACTGCCCTCTTCAACATGGGGACCAAACGAAGCAACAAGAGGAGACATTTTAAAATGTTAAAGAACATAGCAAATACTGGTTATTATATTTTCCTGTGTGTGTTTAGACAACCTTGCTTTCAGCTCTTTATGTTGTTAGGCCATTCTTAGATCAAATTATAGGTGTTATGTTTCCTTTGTTCCAATGACTTTGATTGCCACATTGACTCTCGCCTGCTCCTATAAACCTAAGTTTCCTAAACCCATTTTCTGTATCTCCCTGTACACCCCCACTTGTCATCCATCCTCTTCCTTTGTAAAAAGTCTTGACCCTGGCTTGTTCTCTCCTCTGTTATAAAAGGCTGTATTCTGTTGCCCTCATATGAATATCATTTACTTTTTTAGATTCTTATTAATCTCCTCATTACCTTTATCTTAATTCTTTGTTTTTAAGCAGACACAGGCCAACCATACTTCTTTTTTTAATAGCCAAGGTACAATGTCTATAGTCCTTGCCATTCACTGCCCCTTCCCATTTTTTTCCTTTGGCATTTTCTCCAGGGGTCTGATACCCTAACACTTGTTTGCTCAGGGTACCCCACTATGAGAAAAATAGGTCAACCCTTTTCAATCTACTTTAAAACATCCATTCTCTACCTTCTCTCTTAGGATTTTGCCTTTGGGTCATAATAAATGTTTGTTAATCTCGGTGGCTTATTACTCCTTACAACAGGGGTGGGCAAACTTTTTGACTCGAGGGCCACAATGGGTTCTTAAACTGGACCGGAGGGCCGGAACAAAAGCATGGATGGAGTGTTTGTGTGAACTAATATAAATTCAAAGTAAACATCATTACATAAAAGGGTAAGGTCTTTTTTTTTTTAGTTTTATTCATTTCAAACGGGCCGGATCCGGCTGCCTTACAAGCTGACATATATGTATTTTAATAGGAGTCCAAGGGAATAAATGTTGTAAATAGCCACATGGGAGCTGATAAGCACACAGCCTTTGAAAGTGTTCAGCTTGGGCTGGTGACCACTTCTCAAGGCTGAGCTAAAAGATGCCTAGTCCCTTCCAATTCTGAAAAATCCATGAATGACTGACTAATGGTGGGAGTTTCAAGAACTTTGGCAAGTCAGTTCCAATCTCTCTGTGTCCTTGCTGTTTGTGGCTCTGCAGCTCCACCTTCCTAATACAGGCTATTCTTTCAGCTTCCCCAGCAGTTGCCAATTGCCTGTCACATCTGAGAGCATTTTCTTGGCAAACCACCATTTTGCATGAAAGGATTCGGATTGGGGAAAGTGGATTTGACAGTTTACAACCCAAAATATATTAATTGTGAGCTTTGGACCTTGGCAATCATAACTTATACAATAAACAATCTGTTTGGTTGCTAAGCAACACTTTTCCCTCATTCTTGACCTCAGTGGAGGTATTTGAACTCTGGACTTATGAAATCTTAAATTCCCTCCTGCTTGCAGAACATGCTTTAGTGGCCTTGGCAGGAGGAGCATCTTATTTCTATACTTACCTCCCTTGTTTGCATCTCACCTTCCATATCCTCCTCTCTGACATGAACCCAGCAAGCATGGGCTTTCTCAGCATAACTAATCGCAGGCTGGGACTAGTCTTCAGTCTTCTGTAGAGCTCCCCCTTGTGCTAAGGCCTCACAATAGGCACAACTTCACCTAATGTGGATTCACATCTTGTCAACCTCCAATGGAGAAACTCAATGATGAAGGCTCAACAGATCCTACGTCTAAAATGAATAATAAGAATTTCTTTAATAGCAAGATGTGTCTCTTTGAAGAGTTCCAGGTTTGGGAATATGTTTTACATGTGTATACAAAATTGGTAACATTTAGAGATTTAATTGAAAGAAAGAGCTTTTTATTGAGGAAGAAAATATTATCTTTTTAGGGTATTGTAATTGCTTTGTATTCATTCCCAGTTCTTAAGGCTTTTATGATATGTGGTAGCTTTTATAATTTGTGGTAGCTTCTAATACATAAATAAACTGTAGCATTTTGATTTTTAACTTTTATCTTTTACCTGAATTGTAACCATTCAAAGATTTATAGCTACTTTCTTGAGCAGTCAAGGCTTTTCTGGTTGTTCTTGAACCTGGGGCCTAACATATGCAAAGGAGAGAGTGGGAGACAGAAGTGGAGTGTATTAACACCAAATGACCAAGTAATAAAGGTGATTGTAGTTTTCTGCCATAGGAAGGAAGGGCATGCACAACCATGACATTTAATCGTTTCTTTTTCTTTCTAGAAGGTAGAAAATATATGATGTAAGAGTGGTAGGAAGGGGAAAGACTGATTACTTTAATGTCAGGATAGGAGAAAGAAGCATCACTATAAATGAACTTAGAGAAAATGTGTCAATGAATTTCCATTTTCTTCATTAAACATCCCTCTATTTTGTTTCCCCTGTCTCTTCCTGAGAAATGTGCCTCTGTCTCAGTTTTGCTCCCCCAAGGTCCCTTTTGTCCACGGTGGCTTGAAGAGTAAAAGCCACAAAAGCCCTTTCTTTGGCCATGTTATCTCTTCCCTGCCCCTTGGCTTACACTGTATTTATGTTTTATTTGCAGGTCTGTGGCTGTCCTCTCTATTGGAAAGCTCCCATGTTCAGGGCTGCAGGGGGAGAGAAGACAGGATTTGTGTCAGCACAGTCATTTATTGCCTTGTGGAGAAAGTAAGTATGTGAGCAGTTTCTCTGAGGCTAGGCTAAGAATTGTCTGGTCCTCATGACATGCTTTATAAAGCACACTTATTTTATTCATTTATTAATTTTCCTTTACCCTTTATTTCCACAAGTAAAATTCAATGATTCACAGCCATTTATACCCACACACAAATCCTTTTCATAAGCGTTTATCTTATATGTCTCTAAGCAGTAAATTAGATCTTCAGAAATACCTCTAAAATAACCATTTGATAGTTTCAGTTTTACTTGTTAAATTTGAGTCTTAGGATTTGACTCTTGTCATAGTGATGTAAGAGCAAACCACATGTATCACAAGCAAATACAGCTTCCATTCTCATATGATCCAATTTAGAATTGTGTCCAGTTGATTCATTAAAAATAACTGAATTGTAAAAAATGTTTATTGTTACTTTTTGAAAGCTCCAGTTAAGGAACAAACAAATAGTACATATATCAAGACTCTCCTAGATTTTAACATCTTGACAAGTTTTCTTGAATTCAGACCCAACTTTCTTCTTTTTTTTTCCTCCCTGCTTTCTTCTTTAGAAGTTATTTCTTGATATATTTTATATAAGAGCATGTCACAGCTGGCTCCTTCTACCTCTTTTAACTGATCAGCTTTCTTTATGTTCTTTTCACCTTTTCTGGTCTAGATACCCTTCCTGGTAAACTGTTGGGAAATGCTATTCACCTATTATCATCATCATCATTTAATAATTCACATATAGCCCTGGCCGGTTTGACTCATGGGTTGGAGCATCAGCATGTGGACTGAAGGGTCGCGGGTTCAATTCCCAGTCAAGGGCACCTACCTCAGTTGCAGGCTTGATCCCTGTCCCTGATCAGGGCACATGCAGGAGGCAAACAATCGATGTGTTTCTCTCACATCAATGTTTCTCTCTTTCTATCTCTCCCTCTCTCTCTCTCTCCCTCTCCTCCCTCCTTTCCACTCTCTCTAAAAGAGTCAATAGAGCTGGTTTGGCTATAGCATCAGCCTGCGTATTGAAGGGTCCCAGGTTCGATTCTGGTCAGGGGCACATGCCCAGGTTGCAGGCTCAAAACCCAGCGTGGGGGCATGCAGGAGGCAGCCAATCAATGATTCTCTCTCTCCCTCTCCCTTCCTCTCTGAAATCAATAAGAATATATATATTTTTAAAGTCAATGGAAACTATATCCTTGGGTGAGGATTAAAAAAAAAGCCGCCAACTCAAGGTCATGGAAGGAACTGACAGCTGAATTTAAAAAGTAAAAAATAAAATTCACATATACAGTAATAGCAGCATAATTCAGCTTACAGATACTTTCTAATCCCTTCGTGACACCTAAAAGCCCTTAGTAGTATAATGTTTAAGAACATATTAGGTGATTAATAAATGTATTCTTATTTTTTAAAATCTAGCAGCAAGTTGAGTTGACCAAATTCTTTGTGCATTGCTGAAGTAATCAGGGGATATAAGACTACTGGTTCATGAACTTTTGAAGGACCACACCAAAGCTAAAAGTTACAAATGATTCATGTTTTCCAGGTGGATTTTAGTCATCTTATTACAGGGAGTAGTTCTAAATTGTTCAGATACCAAGGACTGAAAGGGCCCTAGGAGAATCATTCCTCATACACCATCAGGATGACACTCCAAAGTCAGAGTCATTATCACCATTTCACCTCTCCTATAGCAAACGGAAAACTGCTGGGTAAATCTACAACTGTCTTCTTTTTTAATGTGTGGATAAGCAGTCCTAAAAGGGAATTACTTTGAGGCTAGAAATACCAAAAACAAAATACTAATTAGCCAGGAGTAAATCAGCAAAGGAATTATTCTTTGCCCTTAGAGTATTTCCAGCAGAACCTGGGGAAAGAAAATAGAGCCTAGGGTCTGAACAGTAGGGAGGTTGGCTTGGATTCCCTCCCTCTTCCCCACCATTAAAACTAGGACTTCAGCCCTGACCAGTTTCACTCAGCAAGTAGAGTGTTGGCCCGAGAATCAAGGGGTCACAGGTTCGATTCCCAGTCAAAGGCATGTACCTGGGTTACAGTTTCCCCACCCCTGTCAGGGTTCATGTGGGAAGCAACCCATCGATGTGTCTCTCTCACATCACTGTTTCTCCCCCTCCCCCCTTCTCTCCTCCCACTCTCTAACAAAATCAGTGGAAAAAATACACACACACAAAAAGGCCAGGACTTCAGCTGGTTGCTCTGATTGTCTATTAATCACTATTATTGTTATTTTAAATCAGCATACAGTATAACAGGAGAATTCAGGAACTTGAAATGTGTAGGTGTTCTAGCTTTCATTCAGCTAAATACTTTCATCCTGGTAGGGACCAGGCCTGAAAAGACCTCAGCTGGAGTGTTACTCAAGGGTAGAAGAAATAGGGATATTGCATAGAGATAATTTGTCAGAAGTATCTTCAGCCAATGAGTTCAGCATTGTTAACAAAAACCATCTAGCAATCTGGGAAAGCAACAAGAAGTGAATTATGATTGTTTAAGAGAAAATTTTGAGAAAGCTGGGAAATTGAAAAAAAGATATAGTCTATTCTGTAAAAGATTAGAGCCAGAGAGAACTATAACTACTTATATTCTGTTATTTTGAATATTCTCGGACCCTATGTTTGTGAGCCTGAGGCTGACTGTAGCAAAGGAAAACTAGTATCCAGCTTGATTTACCTACAGTTAGCTGCATAATATTGAGGAAAGTAATGGCCAGTGTTTTTGTCTTAAGACTATGTCACTGAGATAGGATGGATATTTATGTTGGTAGATAGAGCAGCAGCAGCCACAACCGATGTATTCCTTTATTGCGATGAATCATTTTAATTGTATCTCTAGGGAAAAGAGAAGGCAAAAGGGGAGAAAAGACATGAAGCACAAATCTTTATTTTAGGAACTGGAAGAAACTACTTATCCTATATAATAAAAGCCTAATATGCAAATCAACCAAACCCCCGGAACGACTGTAGTAAAGCTTTATCTCCTGGCCAGATATAAAATGGTTAGAGTGCCCTCTAGTGGGAACTCCTCTCTGAGCTCTTAAAGCCTTTTAAACGCCTGGTACTTTAAGGGAGACCCTAAGTATGTTATTTTGGGAGATTAAGCAATTTAGCGTGATAGTTTGAGTTACCACACTGACCTTGAAAAAGACGTGTTTATTTTTGTAATTTTTTGCAAATTGTACCCTTTCTACAAAGTATCTTGGACCAAACTGTAGTATTTTAAACTTTCAAGTACAAAAAATAACTGGCAAATAATGATACAGAATCAAAGCATAGTGACATACACATATGTGTGCTGACTTCCAATAAAAGTCAAATACAAAAGTAACAGCATAACAGGAAATAATTTCCCTCTTGTCCCAATGCTTCTAGGGTGGACGGTTACTAGCCCCTTCCAGGTGGTTTGTGGGTAGACATCTAATGGGCTCTTGTTCCCATGCCTCTGCCCTCCTTTCTTTCCCTGCTCTACTGCCCATTTCATTTTTCTCCTCTGACATGTTTTTCTTATAATAAGGACATTTTTAGGGGGAAGACATTGCTTTACAATTTTGTTGTTTGAGTTCCTAGATTTACCAGCTTTATGGCATAGATCCTCTCAAATGGAGTTAGTAATATTGTTCATATTTTTATACTTTACTTCTCTCCTTTTTATGACAACATGTCATTTGTCCATTAATAAAACAATATTTTATCTTTTTTTAAATAAATTTTATTGATTTTTTTACAGAGAGGAAGGGAGAGGGATAGAGAGTTAGAAACATTGATGAGAGAGAAACATCGGTCAGCTGCCTCCTGCACACACCCCACATGCCCTTGACCAGAATCGAACCTGGGACCCTTGAGTCCATAGGCAGACACTCTATCCACTGAGCCAAACCGGTTAGGGCAATATTTTATCTTAAGAGTTCTAGAAAATACCAGTTTAGAATTGCTGTGTTTACCTTCTTTCTCCAGCTTTCACGACTTTTTAAAAAACTTATCTTTATTGTTGAAACTATTACAGATGTCTGCTTTTCTTCCCCATTGACCCCCTCCAACCCACACCCGTTCTCCCCAACCCTCCCTCCCCCCGCCCCAGGCCTTCACTACATGCTTTCACAACTTTTATCATCTCTTTTCTCCTGCCATATAGAGTTCACCAGCCACTAGCATTGGCTGTAATTCACCTTTTCTTTGTATTTTATCTTTGTTTCTAATAGCAAAAGACCATACTTGACTTGGCTTTTCCCTTTCAGAGTATCTCTCATGTGTCATATCTGTACGGGTTTATTTAGTAGTGCTGTTCTTTCTTTAAAACATACTCCTTTCCAAAGACCTCACTGCCTTTTTGCTGTGATCATCCCACCCATTTTTTAATGCTAAGAGGTGGTTCCTATCACCACCTATTGCGCTAGTCTTTTTCTGAAAGTATATTTATTAACTTTGGGGGCTTTGAACATGCTGAAGAATGATAAGGAGGATAAATATAAATATCATACTATAGCTTTAATAATAACAAATGAAGTTAGTTATGTATATATCTGCTAGTCAGATCACAAACATTTTTGAGAGTCTTCTGTGTGAACATTGCTGTGCTAGGTGCTAAAGGAAAAAAGAGCTATAAATTTGCCTGCCCTTTAGGTGCCAGAGAGATAAAAGAAAGCTAACAGTACCGTGGTATAGATAATACCTGTAAATTAAATAGTACAAAGATCACTAAGGAATTTAGTTGTCAGAGAACGCTTTTTGGAAGAGGGAGGTGGGTTATTAGCTGGACCTTAAAGAATGTCCAGCATTCAGATAACAGAGTTGGAAGGGGTGGTATTCTAGGAGAGGGAAACAGGATGAGAAATGGCACAGAGGCAAGAATGCCCATGAAGCACTCAGAGAATAGTGGGTCAGGCCCTCAGTCTGGAGTCTTAAGTTTCATTTAGCAAAGTAGTAAGATAGGTAGATAGGCAGGCTGCAGCCTAATTACAAAGGGCCTTAAATATCCAACTTAGGCATTTAAACTTACTCTTCTAAGTGGTAGATAGCTACTGAACATTTTTGAAAAGGGGAATTATATAATCAAAGGATGCTTTAGAATGAAGAATTGTCTATATAAGATTGGGTGAACAGTGAAGCCTTTTATGACCCTCGTACTTTCTAGCAGTCTCAGCATGAAATAATGAAAATTGTACTTGAGGGTGCAATGGAAATAGAAAAGAAGGAATAGTTGCCTAAAACCATGGTCGGCAAACTGCGGCTCGCTAGCCACATGCGGCTCTTTGGCTCCTTGAGTGTGGCTCTTCCTAAGCTTTAGGAGTACCCTAATTAAGTTAATAACAATGTACCTACCTATATATTTTAAGTTTAAAAAATTTGGCTCTCAAAAGAAATTTCAATCGTTGTACTGTTGATATTTGGCTCTGTTGACTAATGAGTTTGCTGACCACTGGCCTAAAACATTTTGAGGAAATATTCCTCAGGTCTCCAGTATTCCCATCCTGTATTCCAAGCACCTCATGGTCCAAGCTAGAAACCTGGGAGCCGTCATGGATTTCTCCCTTTTACTCCCTCCCCCATGCTCCGCATACACCCCTAACAATTACTACATTCTTTCATTTCAACCACATTTGCCCCTTTCCATCTCCCACCCCAGTATCCGTGCTCAGACCCTTGGTTAAATATTTGCTTGATATTTCTAAAAAATATATCTGGTCATGTCACTGTCCAAGTTAAAATTCTGTGAAATTGGCTAAAGTGCAGGCATCTTGATCTAACATAAAAGGGGCCTCCAGCATCCGATCCTACATGCTTGTGTCCCCATCTCTTACCACTCCAGCACTTGTAGTTGCCCACATATTCCGTGCACTCTCACACCAGGCATCTACATGTGACCCTCGTGACCCACAGCAACCTTTCCTATTTCCCCTTTTTAGGGACTCTCACTGGCCCTCTGCGTCCTTCTATGACACCCTGTGCTTATTACTTCTGTCATGGCTGTCACACGGGAGTGTAACCTTATTTGTGTAGCTCTCTCCCTACATTATAAGCTTTTCACGGGGTACAAAACTGCATCTTATTTTCTTAGTATCCCAAGTATCCTCAAGGCCAGACAAGTACCTGACACACAATTAGCATTCAATAAATAATTAAGAAAACAAGAAAATTTGGTGACTAATTGGCTATAGAGAATAAGGATGAGAAATAAGTCTAAAATAATTTCAAGCCCAAATGACTCAGGATGGTACCACCGTTAACAAAAATAAACATCCATGAAAAGGACTTGCTTTAGGAGGAAGGTTTTAAATTTTGTTTTTGATATTTTGACTTTGTTGTCAGAGCATAGAATCCAAATGGAAATGTCCAGCAATTAGTTGGATGTGAGGCATTCTTGGACCTCAAAGCCTTAATAATAGTGTCTGTCTGTCTGTCTGTCTGTCTCTCTGACCCCCCCCCCCCCCCCCCCCCCCGTCTCTCTCTGTCTTAAGCCTGATCCTTCAAAGTGTAATTTCAAAAGCCACCTATCAGGTTGGCCCTGAATATGTCTGCTAGTCTGGGCAAACAGAGGTTTCTGTCTCATGTGGTTCACAATGGCCCTTCCTGACTGATGGGTAGCACTGGAGTTCTGGTTCCAGGTGTTCTGTGCTAAACCTGAATGAATATTCTCCTGCAGTGTATTGTTATCTGCATTAGTGCAGTTGACTCTGTATGTGCTAAACCTGAATGAATATTCTCCTGCAGTGTATTATCTGCATTAGTGCAGTTGACTCTGTGGTCTCAGCCCAGAAGCATTCTACAAAAATAATATACCATCTTGTTGAGCTTTTATTTAGATGTTCCTTTGACAAAATCAAAAGCATGGAATTTTCCCTTTATTTAATCATTGAAAGGAAAGCACTTGATTCTTGATCTAAATGGCTTCCAGATCAGACTGAAATTACCAGCTGTTGTTGTAGTCATTGTTCATCATAGCCGATCTTCGTAAGCAGTTGTTTCTTTTATAGGTTGCTGAATAATCATCATGATGATGCCTCTAAGTTTATCTGTCTTCTCGCAAAGCCCAGCTGCAGCTCTCTAGAACAGGAGGATTTTATCCCTTTACTTCAGGTAATTTTCAATTCCTTTTTTAAATGTGTTTTATTCTTAGAGTTTCAGAGGTTTTTTAAAATTTTCCAACTGTAATATATGTCAATTGAGGTATACAAATCTAGAGGTCATATTTCTAGGAGAATTGTTTTAGTAGCAAAATCCTTTTGTTAAATGAAAATTAACACAGAACCCATAGTATAAAACAGATAAAACAGAGCTACTCCCACTGAAGCAGAAGAGAGGAGCCACTCAGCTTTCCTTTGCCCACCCACAGTCACTGAAGCACCTTCTATAACCAGGATCTGTTTTTACTATAGCATTCTTCATAACCTGATATATTGCTTGTTAATATTCTTAATTTTATGTCTAAATATTTGGTTTAATAAGAGGTGGTTCCTATCAACACCTATTGCACTAGTCTTTTTCTGAAAGAGAGATATAGTTACTGTATCTATAGGAACAGTATTATTCTGTTGCTCATTCTTAGTTCCTCACTATAAATTCCTTGAAGCTAGGTCTGCCTTTCATTTCTGGTTTTTTTTTTGGTGCCGATAAATCCTGTTGACTATTAGTGGGGATACCTTAAAGAAGGACAGAAAAATATATTAACGTAGTATTACACACAAAAACATGTACACATAGATCACAAATGCACCAATCAATGAGTTTTCATAACATGAGCACATCTGTATAGCTAGCACCCATTATCAAGAAACAAAACCAGTGCCCTCACTGCCACCCTAAGGTAACCACTATCCTGACTTCTAACACCATATGAAATAGATTTTTAATTATAATAACAATTTCCCATGTTCAGAATATGAAGTTTGGTTATGATTTATATTCAGGGTCTTTGAGCTTGCTTTAATTTTCATGAGGGTCTGGTTATCCTTAAACTCATCTACTACATGTTTTTGTTCCTTTGAAAAGGAGGAGGATTCTTAATTGTTTTTTACATTTAACCAAGACCATTATACATAACTAGTGGCCCAGCGCACAAAATTCGTGCACTTGCGGGGGAGGGAGGGTCCCTCAGCCTGGCCTGCACCTTCTTGAAGTCTCAGACCTCCTCGGGGGATGTCCGCCTGCTGGCTTAGGCCTGTTCCCCGCGGGGATCGGGCCTAAGCCGGCAGTCGGACAGCCCTATCACAGTCTGGGACCCCTCGGGAGATAACAACTTGCTGGCTTAGGCCTGTTCCCCGTGAGGATCGGGCCTAAGCCGGCAGTCGGACAGCCCTATCGCAGTCTGGGACCCCTCACTCCTTACTGCCCACCTGCTCGCTGCTCCTTACCGCTCAGCTCACTGCCACGGAGGCGTGAGAGGCTCCCGCCACCCCCACTACACTCGCCAGCCGTGAGCCCGTCTTCTGGCTGAGCAGCGCTTCCCCTGTGGGAACGCACTGACCACCAGGGTGCAGCTCCTGTGGTGAGCATCTGCCCCCTGGTGGTCAGTGCGCATCATAGCAACCAGTCGTTCTGGTCGTTCCGTCATAACAGTCACTTACGCTTTTATTATATAGACTAGAGGCCCGGTGCACAAAAATTTGTGCACTGGGGGGGAAGGGGGGGTCCCTCAGCCCGGCCTGTGCCCTCTCGCAGTCTGGGACCCCTCGGGAGATAACAACTTGCTGGCTTAGGCCTGCTCCTGGGTGGCAGAGGGCAGGCCCAATCCCTAGGTGCAGCCCCTGGTCGGGCTCAGAGCAGGGCTGATTGGGGAGTTGGGGTGCCGCCCCCTGTCATGCACAGAGCAGGGCGGAT